CCACTTTTGGTCCCAATTCAGAATGGAAACTAGTTTGGAAGTATTGTAATTTCTGGCCAGATGGAAAATTTGATTTCCGATCAGCTCCTGAACAGGGCATATGCTTTTGATGTCTTTGTCTAGTAATCCCATGTCCTAGCCACTGTATCTGAGCACATTGTTCCCTGAACCAGGCACTCATGTAAGGAACTTTCCCCAAACAGCCATGTAAGCACAGCCTCAGTCCTATGAGCACTCAGGAATGGTGCACAGGTATGGGCAGACCTAGGATTTTGAAAAAAAGGGGCTGCAGATGGTGAAGCGCATCGTCACATATAACACAGCACACAGCTTTCTGCAATTAAAAAGAAACTAGAAGCTTTGCTAAGAAGCTAGAGGTCTAGAGCTATAGTATTCAATTTAAGATTGAAGCAAAAAAACACCAAATACTTTACTGGAGTGTGAATTCGTATGCTATATCATATATTATATATAAAAACACAATATATGTTATTTCATTAGTCCTGTAATCATTATAGTTAAGTGTACATTTTTCTAGATCACCAAACAAAACCTAGGCTTCTTGAGCATCTTGACGGTGCCTCCAATGCTTCATTGAAAGTCATTTCCACTCCTGAGTTAGTGTTCACTTGATTTAACATTTCCACACCAGAGTTAATGTTTCTAGCTAGAGTTAAAAAAAACAGTCTGCAGGGCTGTGACATGGGAGCTACATTACTAGGAGCAGCTAACAGCCAGCAGCATTGCAAAAGCAGGGATAGCTTGAGCAGTAAAACTATTAAAGATAATTAAAAGGAAAGAAGATTGTTAACACTGGTGGAATGAAGAGATTAGAAGGATTCAGGGAGATTACAATGAGCCCTGAAGTCAATCGATGCCCTTGCTGCTGCTTGACTAGAAATGTTGCTGCCACTGCCAGGCAGTTGGCTTTAAACTTGGGTGAGCAAGGAATCAAAGGTGGGGTGGGGTGCGACTACACTGTGCACCACCCCTGGGTCTGCCCCTGTTCACAAGGAGACTTTGGTTCCAAGTCACCTGAAGTCCTTTGTGTTCTTCACCCTTCCACCAGCTCTTGTTCTCGTGCCGGCAGAGGCATTTTTGCCTCTTTTGCCCATGAGACTCGCCTGCGTTGCCAGCCCCGAGTGTTCAGGACTCCCAAATAGGCCCCCTCCAAAACCAGGAGGTTGGTTTTTTGGTTGTGAGCTTTAAACCATGATCCCTGGGAGGATCTGCTGTTCCACTTTCTGGAACTGGGCCCTTCAGGAGTTGTGTTCTGTAGGTTTTCTCTGCTAGAAACTGACTGCGTTTCTCTGCAGTGCATGTTGGGATTCTCCCTGTGTCCCGCGATGCCAGAGCCTGTCAGACAAACCTCCCGTGTTGAGAGATTTATGGTTTTGTTGTGAGAGCCAGCATCGCTGCCTTCTCCTTTGATCTCCTGACTTGCCAGATTCTCCCAGAGTGCACTGAGACTCAAGGCACCTTCTCTGTTCTCTTGCAGGGCTGGCTGGCTTCCACTGAGATGATCTGAAGAGGAGCTGGAGAAAGCAGAGCTACGTTTAAGATGACACGGACCGACCCGCCTGACATACTGGTGTCTACAGTGTATCAAGACATAAAGGTGAACTCCATCGCGCCCAGGGATTCTGTCGTCTGCCAGCCACGGCCACAATGTGATGCCTTCATGTCCAGCTCCCTGCAGCGTGACCCGCAGCCCTTCAACAAGCGCCACTGCAGGAGCTTTGACTTTCTCGAGTCATTCGACGACCAACTGGAGCCTGGCACCACCATGGAGCGCCCCTGCCGGCGCCCAGGCACCCCAGAGCCCTCCTCAGGCTCTGGAGTACGAAAGGCAGCTTTTAAGTCGGATGTTTATAACACCAGATCCCACCCTCATGGGAGGGAAGGCCCCAAGGAACCGTCTGTCCGGGCAGAGCCAAAGAGGAGAGCGAGGTCAAAGAGTGCCCCCCGCGTGAAATCCACCTTCACCCCTGTTTCCATCCAGATGTCTTCCTCTCCCCCGCCGCCCACAAGGAGAGGGCGTGAAGTGCTGCGTGTTGGCAGGGAGCCTGCCAGGGTGGAGACCTCACCACGCCGGGAAAGCAGCTATGTGCCCATGAGAGCCATGGCCAATGAGGTGCACCCCATCAAGCTCCAGCCCCAGAGGAGCAGTGCCAGCCGCATCTCACCACTCTGTGTCAGCAGCAACTGCTTTGAGGATGCCCCCGGTATGAAGCCGGCTGCCAGCCCGCACGTCAAGTGCCGGATGGACATCAAGCCAGATGAAGCAGTGCTGGTGCATGCGGCACGCAGCATAAAGGCAGCACAGAACAGGATGGAGGCACCATATTGGTCGAGGCCTCCTGGCACTGCTAGGAGCCTGACCGTGCCCAGCAGCAGGCAGGTGTCCGTGTCTCGTACCCCCACACCCAGTGACTCCTATAGTGGGGAGCACCGGGTCATCCCCTACCCCAATGAGTACTACGAGGGGGACCCCCGGGGGATGGCTTACCAGACAGTGCCTGTGCCCTCCCCTCGGGAGTATCCCGAAAGGGGCTGTGTGACCTTCTCCACCCCAGCTGTACCCACAAAGTTCTTCTATACCGAGGAGCCCGTGGGGTGTCCTGGCATCCCACTGAAAAGCTCTGGCTATGAAGGGTACCCTCACCCCTATCCTGCACGTCCCATCCCTCCACCGCACTTCTACCCAGAGGACATAAGCAAGGGAAATGTGCACACTGTCCCCCCCCGGACTTTCTATGTGGAAGAAGCAAGGACCTACCCCGTCCAGGAAGCCCCCAGCCACACTTTCTATGGAGATGACCCTCGGTTTTTTGCCCCACGGAGTGCCCCCATCAAAACCCTGTATACAGAGGACTCCCGGGCCTACCCCGCCCTAAGCTCCTCTGCCCGGGTTTTCTATGCTGAGGATTATGGGAAATACCATGAGAGAGAAGCCATTTCTAGGACGTACCCTCACCCCCGCAGTGTCCCACCCTTGCACTTCAGTGACTGGTACTGCCCAGACCGGGGGGCGCTGCCCTATCAGACTTTGCAGATGTCTCGCTTTGCCCCCCACCCCTCTGGGCATGAGGCTTTGCTTTCCTCCTGGCATGCCAGCTACAGCACAAATCCACCCAGGCTGGGCACTGACAGCCGGCACTACTCCAAGTCCTGGGACAACATCCTGACCCCCAGCATCCGCCGCGAGGATCCCATGTGCCGTGGGCGCAGCTATGAGAACCTGCTTGTCCAGGGCCACCACCAACGTGCCTTATCACCCGACGACCGGCGGCAGCCAGTGGTGATCAACCTGTCCAGCTCCCCAAAGCGATACGCTGCACTGTCCCTCTCTGAGAACTCCCTCATAGAGAGGGTGCACTCGGATGGTGGGAGGTACGCCATGGGCCGATCCTGGTTCGTCACCCCGGAAATCACCATCACGGACAACGACATTAAAGCCAATGGCCTGGGCAAGAGCGAGAAGCGCTCGGCCAGCTGGGATGTGCTGGACGCGGGGCGGGATGGGCACCGCCCCTATGCTACACCCTATGACCCAGGGCCCACTACCAAAGAGAGCGCTCAGAGCAGCTCTGCCCGCCAGCGCAGCCTGGAGCAGCTGGATGAGCTCATCACAGACTTGGTCATTGACTACAAGCCACCGCCCAGCCACCGCTCCACCGACGGTGACAGCCTGACGGACCAGCTCAAGAAGCTGATCAGCAATGGCGCACCAGCACCTGCCAGGAAGCCAGAGTCCCGGAGGCCAACACTGTCTTCGGCCATGGAGCCCAGGCCTACCAAGGAGCAGCCAGGGCCCAGTTGCTTCCGCAGCGACCTGCGCAAGGAGCACGGTGGGCCCTCTCTGGCAGCATCCATTTCTAGCAGCAGTTTTGAGAAGCAGCTGGACGACTGCTCCCCGGACCTGAGCGCTGAGGAGGATGACATGATGATGTGCTCCAATGCCAAGTGTCGGCGGACAGAGACCATGTTCAATGCCTGCCTCTATTTCAAGTCTTGCCACAGTTGCTACACCTACTATTGCTCCCGGAACTGCCGCCGGGAGGACTGGGACATCCACAAGGAGAGCTGCATCTACGGGCGCATAGGGAGTATCTGTCGGCACGTGCTGCAGTTCTGCCGGGAGAACGGTGAGGTGCACAAGGCTTTCTCGCGCATTGCCAAGGTTGGGTACCTCTCCCGGGGTCGGGGGGTGCTCTTCCTGGGCTTCCCCAACTCGGGCTCAGCTGAAAACTTCCTCCAGTTTGGCTTGGAGAGCTTGCTCATGTCGCCCACCTACCTGTCCCTGCGGGAGCTGGAAGGTTACTCCGACAACCTGGGGGATTACGCCCGGGAGCTGCGGGATGCTGGCAACCAGTATGACCCCGATGAATGTTTCCTCTTGAATGTAACTGTGGCCGTTGGCCAAAAAGTGCCTCAGAGGCCATCGCCGAAGATGCAGGTGCCAACGGTTAGGAAATATGCCAAGGTGGCCTTAGCCTCTTCCAGCCCTGAGAAGAAGATCCTGAAGAAGGAGCGGGACATGGAGACGTTGATCCTGACCCCACCGCCCGGCACTGCAGACATCGACAAGGAGGGCGAGGAGGGGAGGAAGGCCCGGGAGGTGTGCTTCATCAACATCCAGCGGGAGCTACGGATCCGTGGCGTCTTCCTGCGCCATGAGTTCCCCAAGATCTATGAGCAGCTCTGTGACTTTGTGGAAAGCAACAAGAGGTTTACACCCACCACCATTTACCCCATCGACAAGAGGACCGGCAAGCAGTTCATGTGTATGATCATGGCCGCCTCGGAGCCACGGACCCTGGACTGGGTTGCCAGCCCCAACCTCCTGGATGACATCATGTGATCCAGCCTGTGGCCACCTCTCTCCTGTCTGGCACCCAGGCCTCTTATTTATTTACCCTTTGTAGATACGTATTTTATTATGGACACACTAGCCTGGCCGGTCAGTATATTCTTATCGTTTCTAACAGATACGTGTTGGCTCACAGCCCTAGGGGAGTCCTGAGGAAAGATCGCTGCCCTGCTGGGAAAGCATGGGTTCGTGGACTCTTAGCAGGTCTCTGGCCACCCACGTTTGTTGCCACTGGTTGGCTAGATCAGGAGCTGCTGAGGTCTCCAGGTCCTGGTTTGTCTGGGTGGAGATGGAGGGCTGGGGAGTGGGCAAAGGGCATGGCTGGTTGTGGGGTTTGAAGTTTGCTGTGAGGAGAGGAGCCCTGCATGTTGGGTAAGGTCAGTGCCCTGTCCCTGGGTCTGAGGCACGTGGGGTGTCTGGGAGATTCCATCACTGCCTTTCCTGGTGCCCTCTGGCCATGGCACGGGGCTCTCAAGCCACTGGCCCTCAGCTCTTCTAGGAACAGCTTGTCCTGAGTAGGATCCCCAGCCTCAGCCTGTGGCTCCAACCACTAGACAACAAGGCTACCTCTGAGCTTGCATGGACGTGCCCACTCCTGTGACCCAGGCAGCTGGCAGGTTGTAGCCACGCACAGGTGAGCAGCCCTCCCCTCACCCATCCTTGTTTAATTCTGCAAATAGCCAGCAAGGGGATGGGTGTTATCCTGCCCTCTGGGGATGTTCCCGCCAAGGGTGCGAGGCCACTGACACCCATTCAGCTGCACATGTGCACGGGGCCATGTCACAGTGCCCACGGGTGTGTTTGGGGCTCACCAGGGGCCTGTTTGTGTGGGGCTTACTGCCGCCTCCATCCAATATGCCTGTTCCCCTGCCTGCTGCCACATGTACCCACAGTCACTCTACCCACAATTACTCCCCTTGCCAAACCTGCCACCCTCCAGCACCTCCCCAGGCCCAGTTGTTCCCCACTGCCAAAACAAGGGCCCTATCCTGTGTGGTACTGAGCACCTCCAGTCCTTTACTCTCCCTGCCCTTTTAGTAGGAGCAGGGGGATACTGCACCTCAGGAAAGAGCCTGGAGTGGAAACTCTGGAAAGACCCCTGAGGCCCCGCGTAGACTCAACAAGGGAGGCTGGAGATTAAAGTGCCAAGGCATTTCCTGCCTTCCCGCGAGGCCAAGCTAAAGCCCCACAGCAGCAGCACCTGGCCCAGGCCTAGTCTCCTCCTCTCAGTTACACCAGCGCAGCACCACCTCTGCTGCAGCCAGCCCCATGGTGTAGCTGAGAGGGGCCTGGGGATGCTGCCTCTCAGTGAGGGCCCATTGTACGGACAGGGCTGCCTTCCCAGTGCCCCCAGTGTGTGTGTATCTGGCTCCCCTGGGTGCTGGGAGAGCAGCATGGGCAAGGCTCAAGCTGGGCTTTGGTGCTAGGTCTGTCTTTAGTGCCGGGATCCACTTGCAATCAGAGTGAACCAAATGTAACCACAGAAACAGACTGTGTGAGGGAAGGGACAGGGCTGGGCCCTTCTGGTGCCTCAAGCTCCAACTCCCACCCCCCGGTAAGGATGGGATTAAACTAACCCCACTGCAGGGCTGTGCCTGCAGCAGCAATGAGGCATTGTGCAAAGCCCCCAGAATTGCAGAATGCCTGGGGGGGGGGGAGTGGAGGGCACAGCCTCCATCTCCTGGTACCCAAGGGGATAAGGTTGGGCTGCCAAGGGTGGGTGGGCTTGTCAGGAGGAGGTGGAGGGGAGCAGGCATGTGGCTGAAGGCAGGCACCCACAGGTAAAGAGCCACATGTGTTTTATAGATGCTCTTAGTCAGGAGTCAGTGCCTTGCCCAGGAGGGCAGGGGAGGGGTTGCTTCAGTGCATGGGGCATGGCATGGGGTGTATGGAGTGTGCATGGAGCATGGGGACGTGCATGGGGCACTGTGCTGGGGGTCTGTGTGCATGAGGGCAGGGGCAGGTGGGCCTGGGTGGCAGCCTGGCACTGGGCATGGGCAGTGCGTGCCCATGGGCGTGAGGAGCTGGTGCTTGCATGCTGGCAGGGTTGCAGAACTTCCCCCTCTCAGGGCTAGGGGAGCATACATGGAGGTGTCTGGCATGGGGCACCTGCCAGGGCAGGGGCAGCAGTGTCTCTGGGTGGGGGCCTGGTGTGAGGCAGGGGCTGGGGGGCTGCAGTGTAAATCCAGCCAAGGGCCTGGCCCTGCCTGCATGTAGCAGCCAGATGCCTTTGGGAGCTTCCCTGACCCCACAAGAGAGGCAGCCCCAGCACATCCTGATGTGTATGAGGATCCTGTAGCTGGGGCAGAAACCACCTGCCCTAGAGGACAGGGAGGGGAGAGAGCACTGTGATCCCCACCTCCATCCTGCCTCCCTGTCATGGTCCTGGAGCCCCTACCAGCCCCAGGCAGCTTGAGGACACCCAGTCATTACCACCACTCTCAAGTCTCTCTTGGCCTGCAAGGAGGCTGGGCCTGCATCAGCATCAGCCCAGTGCCAAGGCCTGTTGGGAAGCATCTCCTGCCCTCAGATTGATCTTGGCAAACACAGCAGGGCCTGTGAGCTGCTGGGAGCTCAGGGACAGCTCCTGTTAGTGCTGGCTCTGGCCCGGCAGTGCTGTGTGCACGTGTGCGCTCTCCCACTACATGGACATGCATACATGCTCTCCCCCTGCATGTGTGCCTTCCTACCACACGTTCAGATACAGACAGGCATTCCCTCCTACCCACACACACATGCATGTCCTCCTGCCACACACATGCGTGTGCCCTCCCACCACACATGCACACACAGGCATGCCCTCCCTCCACATACATGCACACGTGCCCTTCCAGTCATGCACAGGTGCCCCCACATGCATGTTCTACTGCCACACATGCACATGTAAGCCCTTCCACTACACACAAATGTTCACATGTGCCTTCCCATCGTGCACACACACACACGTCCTCCTCCCACACCCATTGTATTTCTTATTCTTGGCAGTGTGCAGAGCTGAGGGGCAGGTCTCTGCTGTCTTCCAAACACACTCCTTGTTTCTCCCAGCATCAGTCACCTATATATGAGGGGCCAGGCCCTCTCACCCCAGTGTATGTGAGCAGTAACTCAGTGGAGCTTCTAGGTGACAGTGACCTGTGAGGTTGCCTGAGTGCAGACAGGGTGGCTGTGCCTGAAGCCAGAGTCCCTGTCCCCCTAGATCCCCTGGGCTGAGCTGTCCAGCTGCCTGCCCCACGGGTGCTGGACTTAGCCGCTCCCCCATATCCCCTCTGCAACAGAGGCCCTTGGGGACTAACCTTTCAGCTGCGTGATCTCGCAGCCCTGTGCTCGGGATCTCTGATTCCTTAGGACTCGCGTGCCTCAGGCATTGTTGCACAGCCAGCCCTGGTGTCCCAGGGAGGCAGCTGCAGCTCTGCCCTGGGCTGGGAGTCAGGCCTGGGCAACAAGACAGCTGTGTTGCTGGGGACGGGATCTCTTTGGAAGCCGCTGGGGATCTGTTGGCTGAGCTGCTTCCCTGTGGGATCCATCGCTGCCATGAGCACAGCACACCTGTTCCCGAGCTCCCTGGAGCAAGGGCTTGTCCTTCCCATCCTGTCCGGCACTGGGATTCTCATGCTAGAGCTGAGCAGTGGGTGGGGGCTCAATGCTGCACTGAAGCTGGAGGGAGATGCTTCCCCCAGGGCAGAACAAGCTTCTCTGAGTGCAGGAGGGTGGAGGGACCAGCAAGAAGCCTGTTAAGGCTTGGAGGAGGAAGGGGGCCAGGGGGAGCAGCTCATCAGCACCCCTCACCCCAGCTGTGAAGTGGGAGCTCCTTGCTGTGTACATCAGGCACAGGCTGGCCTCACAGAGCTGCAAGGGAACAAGGAGCAGCTGACTTCTCCAGGCTGCTTGCTGCTCCCCTAGGCAGCAGCCCCACTGTCTCCCCAGTGGCCGCACCCCAGGGGCTGGCAGCAGATGAAGGCTCAAAAGGCTCCCAACTGCTGTGATTCCCCCTGGGTATGCTGCAGCCAAGCCCTGGGCTGGTGCTGCGCTTGGGTTGTTAGAGCCACGTGGAGCTGGACCAGCCCCCTGCTTTCCTGCCAGCGGGTCCCTGTCCTGCAGCACAAGCAACACACTAGGCTGGGGGCAGAGCAGGGGCAGGAAGTGTGATACTGGCAGGGTCACTGCCAAAGAGCAGTGCGGTGACCACAGCTTTTGCTGGTGGGGCCTGGAACCCCAGTGTCCTCCCAGCAATGTGCCCCCAGGCCAGGAGGGCTGGGGAAAGGCCCTGCCGCAGACGGGCTGTTGCTAGGGGGCTTTGTCCCGTGGGGCTGCAGCCACAATCCAGGCACCTGGCATGTGACATTCTTTGAGCATCAGAGAGCCACGGCTCATAAACGTCCCTTCCTGGCTCCCAGGCAACGCTCCCCCTTGGAACTGCACTGGCCCGGGGCACGGGCCTGGCCAGGAGATGGGGAGTTGCAACTATTGTGTCCTCGCCATCATTCAGTACTCTTAGAGGAGCTCAGGCCCTGGCACAGGGCATGGCCTCAAGCCATGATCTCTGGTCTGCCTCAGATAGGGAATGCCCCCTTCCCTCTCCCTGCTTTGCCTCTCTCCTGCTTGGCACTTCCAAGGCCAGGTCACAGGAGCCCTTTGGCCCTGATGTGTTGTGTGCTGGTCTGATCTCCACTTGGGCAAAGGTCCCCTCCCACCAGGCCCCATCCCAGTCCTGCCTGCAGCACGGAGCCTCCCCAGTGACGCAGTGAGGAAGCAGTCTTCCCTCCTAGTTGCGGAGCTCCCTTGCCCCCCACTATTGAGAAGAGCAGCCAGGAACAAGCTCTCCCCTTGGCCAAGCTGGTGTCTCTGGGAGCCGTATATAGTGCCACTGTCTCCCTGGGCACCGCTGGCCCCAAGTGAGAGGCTGGGCTGAATTGCAGGTGCTTGGTCCTGCTTGGGCCCCATGCACAACTGCTTGCCCCAGCCTGGGAGGGCTCCAGATGGCAGAGAAGGACTGTGGAGCTGTGCAACCCAGAGTGCATCAGAGGAGCTCACTGGTGCTGGGCATGGTCCTGGCACCTCCTTGGCAGGGCTAGAGCTGTGGGGGTGGCAGAAATGAGGCCTCAGTGCCCTCTCTCCCCACCCCCTGCTGCCTTGTGCCCTTGGGAGAGCTATGCGCCCTGTGTGGGTAGGATCAGCCAGCCCAGGGTAAACAGGGCTTTGCCTCTTCCACCCTGACCAGGCTGCACTAAGGACCTGCTCCAATGGTAAGGAGCAAAGCCGGATGGAGCAGCAGCATCATGTGAGGCATCTGCTACAGGAGGTAGAAGCTCATCACTGCTAGATGCCAGCTGCAGCCATCGGCTATGTTCATCCCTGGGGTAAGCCTCTGCAGCTCCATTGCCCTTAGCACTAGGCAGCACTGCAGGCAAAGGGGCTGCAGCTGCAGGAGAGGGGCACATGGCAGCTCCTGGCTGGTTTTGGACATGCTGCCCCTTTGCAGTCTCACTGCTGCTGGAAAGTGGCTCTGCTTGTGTGCGGATGCTCAGCAGACAGATTTGCTGGCCCACATGGAGGCTAACAGTGTGTCCACCCATTGGCCAACACCGTCTTCTGTGGGCAAAGGGCCTGCCCACAAGCACCTGCTGCAAGGCCAAGAGAATCCAAGCCATGCGCTGGGGTGATGTGATGAGAGACGGCCCTAGCACGGGGCTCTGGGGCTGAAATTCATCCCATAACTGGACATATCCCTTAGCTCTTACAGTGTCTTGGCCAGCTGTCTGGAGTGATGTTACCAACCTACCTTGGGCACTGGGGGAGGCTGTGGAGATTAGGCCATGCTCACTGAGACCCATACATTAAACGCGCTGTCTCTACATCCTGAATTCCTAGGAAGGGCAGGAGATCAGCCTCAGCCTGTGTTGCCTTCCCAGCCAAACTCAGAAAGGGCCAGTGCACTTTTTGCCTAATTGAAAATGCCAAATGCCAAGGAGATGTGAAAACAGCAAGAGGAGAGCAGCAAGGGGAATTGAATTGGCTGCCAAATACCTTGTGCAGGGAACTGATGCCAAATGTCTGCCTTAGTGAGGTTGGAAATCAGAACCTGGACCCTCAGCTGCTTTAGATTAGTGCAGTTTGGGTCGATCAAAGGTGACACTGACTTACTCCAGAGGAGCATTTGTCCCTGGAGCAGCCCTGTGCTGTGGAGAGCACCTGGGAGTGTGGCGGTGGAAGGAATGGCTCCGCTCTCAGCTCTTGATGCTGCTTGCTTCCTGTCAGTGTAGACAGGGAGAGAAACTTGTTTCTCAGAGTTGCCAGTACCATGTATTGCATTGGTTTCTGCAAGCCAGTCCTGTTTGCTGGGGCTGCCTTTCATTCCTGGGAGCCTTCCCTCCCTGTCATCCCCTTTTGTCTTTCACTACCACTGTCTTTGGAGTCAAGTTTAAAACCAACAGGTCTTGCAGCCAAAATCCTTTGGCTAGAAAGCTCTGAGCAGTGCTTTCAGTGTCCTGAGTGTCAGGTTCT